AATGATGGAAATATCAAAAAAATAAAATAAAACAAGTTTCCCATGTGATATGTGGTCTAGTTGTTGGGAAAATTTACAAATATGAATTTCGACTTTATTTACAAAATCTCTCTGGAATTTGTAAAATGGGCATAACTTTTGCATACGAACTCGGATTAAAAAGTTTTTTATATGAAAAATCATCTACTCAAAAAGTTACATCCGATGGAGACTGCCTACGGCCTGTTTGCAAATTTGTAGAATTCTCAAATTCCAAAAGGAAAAAAAGTTATGCTCAAATTTCAGTTTTTTTTTAAATTTTCATTAAATCTGGTCAAACTATGGTCAAACTACTTATTCAAGAAGTATTAGTGTTACTAAATAATTATTCAAGAATATTAGTGTTATTAAATAATTATTTCAGTTTTTTTGAATTTTGGTCAAATCTGGTCAAACTATGGTCAAACTACTTATTCAAGAAATATTAGTGTAACTAAATAATTATTGTTTTTTAGAACAATAGTTTCAAACTCAAACAGTGAAATGTGTGACTTCATGCTCAAGCTAAAATCCTGAGGGTTAATAGGATTAACATCTTACTATTGTCAGGAAAACAACGAGTGCAGACTTGGAAACGAGAGAGAATAGAACCTGAAAGTTAAGCGTGCTCAGGCTGGAGGAGTGGGAGGATGGATGACCGTCCGGGAAGTTAGATGATTTAGAATGATGAGGGGTGATTAGAGATTAAATTGAGCAGTGATGAGAGGGGTGATTAGAGATTAGAGGTTAAAATAAATCAGAAATTTAAAAATAAAAAAATAAAAAAAAAATTCAAAAAAAAATCAGAAAAATTACCTTTAGTACCGGTTAGTGTTACCAACCGGGACTACTAGTGCAAGTGGACTGGACTGGGTGGGTACCATTCATGCACCCGCTGCAAATTCAGTCCAGCCACTGAAAGGATTGAGGCCTAGTCATTCCAAAGTGGTCAAAAGAGAACAAAGTCTACATTATTGCTGGGAATATTAGCACACTACTTGCAAACCAAACCAAGAGAAAGGCCAAAAGCATATGTAGAGCAGGCTAATGTACTTGCCAACCAAAGTAGACCAAACCAAGAGGGCATGGCAATGGGGGACATGTGTTTGCTATGCTCCTTGCTAGCCGTCCTGATGGTTGCCATGGCAACCGCTAGCGACGAGGCCGCGCTGCTAGCTTTCAAAGCACAGATCAACCATGGTGGCTTGCTGGCCTCCTGGAATAGGAGCGCCGGCTTCTGCAGCTGGGAAGGCGTGACGTGCAGCCGTCGGAGGCCGGCGTGGGTGGTGGCGTTGCTATTGAACGGCACTGGGCTCGCCGGGGCACTCTCCCCGGCCATCGGGAACCTCACGTTCCTGCGGACGCTCGACCTGAGCTTCAACTCGCTCCATGGGGGCATTCCGGCAAGCCTCGGCCGCCTACAGGGGCTCTACTTGGACGACAATGCATTCTCCGGCACCTTCCCAGTGAACCTGAGCTCATGCGTCAGCATGAACGAAATGGTACTGGACAACAACAAGATTGGCGGGCGCATCCCGGCTGAGCTCGGTGAGAAGCTGACATCCTTGACAGAGTTCTCGCTGAGTAACAACAGCTTCACAGGGCACATCCCGGCATCACTGGCCAATCTATCCCATCTACAAATCCTCGATCTCACCAGTAACCAGCTCGTGGGCTCGATCCCACCGGGCCTCGAAAGCATCCAGAACATGCAATATTTCAGTCTCTACGACAACCTCCTCTCTGGTATGCTCCCACTTTCTCTCTACAACTGGTCATCATTGGAAGTACTTGATGTAGCTCTAAATATGTTATATGGAACCATTCCGGATGATATTGGAAGCAAGTTCCCCAAGATGAAAGCTCTAAGCTTATCTTCCAATCACTTCAGTGGGCCCCTCCCCTCATCAATATCCAATATGTCTGATCTCACAAGAATTTTTCTCTGGAAAAATAGATTTAGTGGGTATGTGCCTCCCACATTGGGGAGACTGGGAGTTCTCCAATATCTGAACTTGGCTGACAATCGGCTCGAAGCAAATGACAACAAGGGATGGGAATTCATCACCTCTCTGGCAAACTGCAGCCGACTGCAGATATTAGAACTCAGCGTCAATCCTTTAGGTGGACAACTAGCAGGTTCAATTGTCAACCTATCAACGACTCTCCGGGACTTAAGTTTAACTGACAATATGATCTCCGGGGTTATTCCTGCGTACATAGGCAATCTGGTTGGTCTCACAAGACTTGTGTTAGCAAATACTTCCATATCCGGAGTTATTCCAGAGAGCATTGGCAAGCTCAAGAGCTTGATCCAGCTAGGCTTGTACAACAATAGCTTGTCTGGCTCCATACCGCCGTCGCTAGGAAACCTTTCACAGTTGAATGGGCTTATTGCAAACAATGGCAACTTGGAGGGGCCAATTCCAGCAAGCCTAGGGAAGTTGAAAAATCTTTTTGAACTTGATTTGTCAATGAATTACAGACTTAACGGTTCAATACCCAGAGAGATCTTCAAATTACCCAGTCTCTCTTCGTTTTTGGACTTGTCATACAATTCCCTTTCTGGACCCCTTCCTAATGAAGTTGGTAGTTTGGCAAACCTTAACCGACTGATTCTATCAGGAAACCAGCTGTTTGGCAAGATACCTGACGGTATTCAGAATCGCATAGTGTTGGAATGTCTGTTATTAGACAATAATTCCTTTTAAGGAAGCATACCACAGTCACTGAAGAATATAAAGGGGCTCAGTAAACTGAACCTGACCATGAATAAGTTCTCTGGTAATATTCCTGAAGCCCTTGGTAGTATTGGAAACCTGCAAGAGCTGTACCTAGCACACAACAACCTGTCAGGATCAATCCCAGTAGTTCTACAGAATTTGACATCATTATCCAAACTGGATGTATCCTTCAATAATTTGCAAGGCGAGGTGCCAGATGAAGGTGTTTTCAGAAACATCACTTACTTAGCGGTTGCTGGGAATATCAATTTGTGTGGTGGTACACCTCAACTTCATTTGGCCCCATGCTCCATAAGCAAGAACAAAAAAAACATGCCAAAGTCTCTTGTAATTTCTCTAGCGACAGCTGGAGCGTTTTTGTTCTCACTTTCAGCTATTCTTATTTGGATACTTTGCAAGAAGCTCAAACCAAGCCAGAAGACACTAGCACAAAATTCAATTGCTGATGACCATTACATGAGAATCCCCTATCATGCATTATTGAGAGGAACTAACGGATTTTCGGAAGTCAGCTTGCTTGGGAGAGGAAGTTATGGTGCGGTTTATAGTGTGTTTTGGACACTGAAGAAAGAACATTGGCTGTCAAGGTGTTTAATATTGGTCATTCTAGATATTCCAAGAGTTTTGAGGTTGAATGTGAGGCGATTAGAAGGATACGACACCGTTGTCTCATTAAAATCATTACTTCTTGTTCGAGCGTCAACCACCAAGGTCAAGAGTTCAAGGCATTGGTTTTTGAGTTCATGCCCAATGGTAACTTGGATGGTTGGCTTCATCCAAAATCGCAAGATCCCACTATAAACAACACACTCAGCCTTGCCCGAAGGCTTGATATTGCTGTTGATATTGTGGATGCAATAGAATATCTGCACAACTACTGCCAACCATTGGTAATCCATTGTGATCTTAAGCCAAGCAACATTCTTCTTGCTGAAGACATGAGCGCCCGAGTTGGAGACTTTGGCATATCAAGGATCCTTCAAGAAAATACAAGCGAGGGGATGCCAGCTTTAAATAGCTCAACTGGAATTAGAGGTTCCATAGGCTATGTTGCTCCAGGTAACTGATACTCTTCTAATTTTATATTTTACTTTCCATAGCGAGTCTGCGTTGCTTGCTTTCAAAGCCCATGTTAGCCATGGTGGCTCGCCGGCCTCTTGGAACAGCAGCACCGGCTTCTCAGCTGGGAAGGCATGACGAGCAGCCACCGCAGGCCAGCGCAGCTGGTGGCACTGCGATTGAACAGCACCACCAGAGCACTCTCCACGGCCATCCGGAATCTCATGTTCCTGCGGATCCTGCATGACCAAAAAAAATGTACCGTTTCAGTTAGTGATTGCTCTCATAGGAGCTATGTTGCTTTACAACTGTATGAAATAAATGCAGAACCATGGTGTTCTGCAATAATAGCTCTAGAGCAAGTTCTAGAAAGTTTCAGAAAGGAAGCAGTGTTATTGTTTTTCCATTCTCAAAAGTGTACGCATGCAGGCAACATTATTAGTTCATGCTCCAGGTAAACCAGTAGAGCTGAAATTGTAGAGTTTCAGAAGTTTTTTTTCAAAGGAAACGATCCAATTTTATTAGTTTATATTACAGAAAAGGAAATGAAAGCTGAAAATGTAGACACAATTTGGTAGGACTTAAGCCGTCATGGCTACCTGCCTACCTCGAACCCTCACACAAGTCAACACAGAAGCTAATTAAATTAAATTGCATTGCAGAGATATCATGTTCATATAAGGCTGGTCACAGTGAGGAGAAACTTAGTAGTAACATCACACACTCCAATACAACTTTGCTTATGTGGCACGTATTTAATGAAGAGAGAGGTGCTTGTGGTAACTAGCTAAGTTACCGGAACATCACACACTCCAAGAAACAATGAGTCTATAAACTAATAAATACATCGTTGCATGACACTACATAGATGTTCCTACCCACTATGGAGGTAGTAACATAGTCTAGGGAAGTGTGAAGTTACTAGGTTATGTTCTTGCCCATTGTGACCAGCCTAACCAAAGCAAGTGTGTTTTGACTTGTTGTCAGAGCACATCCTTGTCATACAGGTAGTACAGTAAATTAGTTTTTTATTTGCAAAAAAAAGGTAGTACAGTATAACCTAAAGCCATCATCAAGGCTCTCTCTTCGATACATACATAAAGATAGAATTTTTCAGGGGTGCTTGGTTTCTGTGTTGAGGTTTGGCATATCCTGCTCAAAGATACGGCCTCGAGAGCGAGCGTTGATAAGAGATGCAGCAGTAGAGATGCGTACCCCCTGTTTTCTTGTAAGCAAATAGGCGAGCATGGAGCAAATGAGGAGTCTCGGCTCGAGATATTTGATCTGGAGCGATTTTTTTTTGACGCGTCAACGGCGGGTTTACGCCGGCCTGAACCATATATTACCAAAGCAGAAGCAATTACAGCATGCAAGATATGACCCTGTAATAATACAAGCCGCTTCAGTTAGGAAGCATTTGTTTATTATCGGAGCCATATGATTTGCACCATATCAGAAAAATGTGAAGTTAGCTTTGTGCAATAGCACTGCAGAGACGGTACTTGTCAGCATACTACATGGGTTCTCAAAAACCCCAAAGGTTCGAGGAATCACATCCTCAATCCAGTACGCTAAGAACATGAACGAATTTGTGGATCCAAGGAAATCAGCAGTCAGTCAGGCTGTTTGTTAACAAAGTAGTATATACTGTCCATGTGTGCAGAAAAACACAAGGAAGCGGTAGGACCAAACGGAAATCATCATGCGCGGACGAGCTCGCGCGCTCTCGCTATCGTCGGGCGTCCATCAGGCGGAGATGCGAGACTGGCAGACGTATTGCAGGTGGCAGTTGGGGTCAGTTAATGCGCGCTATCGTCGGGCGTCCATCAGGCGGAGATGCGAGACTGGCAGACGTATTGCAGGTGGCAGTTGGGGTCAGTTAATGCGCGCTATCGTCGGGCGTCCATCAGGCGGAGATGCGAGACTGACAGACGTATTGCAGGTGGCAGTTGGGGTCAGTTAATGCGTATACGGGCACAAGACGGCGTTGTGGAGGACGTTGGTGCTGACGTCGGAAGAGGTTTTGACGACGATTTGGCAAAGTGCCGTTCGCGCTCGGTTCTGTACCTCTCGTTCGCGCTCAGCAAGAGATGCAACGCCTCGTTCTTAAATAAAGGTCTGTTGGTGCTGAGCCCAGCGCGCTCATGCTATTTGAAATTCAAAGGACGAGGGATTCCCGCTCAACAGACACAGCAGCTCTTGTGATGTCACCTGGCATAATCAGTTGCGTTCGGAATTTAATGATTGTAGGGTTCAGCGGAGGGATCAGTGATAATGTGCAATGGGCATCAATATATGACGTGAAAAATAAAATATGGAACTGAAAACACATCTGAAATTCAACAGGTCATTACATAATGAGGTGCAAACACAAGAGATGGCACACAAAGATTGACGCAACATGTTATTACACAGATTTATCAATTATCGGCTGCGGAGCCCTCAAGAACAGGTTTATTACACAGATTGAACAGACGATCTCAAATCAGACTGGTGAGTGCATTCGCGTCCACATTAGTTGTCCCAGCAACATATAGAACAACCTTTGGCTTGTTGCAGGTGTTTCTCCTGTGGCCACCGACACCACATATAGAGCATTTAGCCTCGTTCCTTTCCTTTGGTGCAAGACCTCCTCGTCGCGGACAGGTTGTGCTCTTGTGACCAGGTTCTCGACATATGCTGCAGAAGTGAGTGCGTTTGCTCGTGCCACACCTATCGACATCTTCAGCAGCTGTGCGTTGCTTCATCCTTTTGCTTTTTGCACCTCGGTCATCATACAGAGGCTTATCTCTGCTATTTGTTGGTCGCGCGGCTTTCCTTTTCCACTCAGGTGGTTTCAGTCCTATGAAATCCCCGATAGCACTGCCTTCTGCATCACTAACGTTCCCGCTTGCGGGTGCAATTGCTGGAACAATTTCTTTTACCGTATCCTGCATGCATTTTGTGTGTGCAAACTATCTCCTGCATGCATTTTGTTCTCTCAACATTTAGATGGCTCTTGCCGTATCTCACTCTGAACCCAACCTCCCATGAATATAGATTGTAGTAGTCATAAGCTTCCCCAGCGTATCGAAACTGGCTCCCATAGCAGGAACTATCACAGTTTCAGTTTTTTTCTCTGCATAGCTTCGTATTGTTAGCTCCAATGCACTCATCCTGGCAGCACATGGGGGCCATTCATCAGGCACACGCCCAACACGGATTCTGCATTTTCCACATTATATTTTTTCGAGCACCAACAGACCTTTATTTAACTGCGAGGAACACAATGCAGTGGGTCTTTACCTTCGCGTCCAGCCAGGGGCTTCAGGGTCGTCCTTCCCTGTAGATTGCTCGGACGCCGGCGCCGACAGGGCAACCCCCTGACAAGTGTTGTTCAAATCTGTTTCCACTACTGCCATGGCATCTCCTGCTTCGCCAATGCTTGAGTCCACAGGTCCACATATTATAGCCTAGCTTCTGCCGTGCTCTATCGGCAGCTCGCCGCCGGCCAGATCCGGCAGGGGAAATCTATTTCAAATTGACAAGCAGAGCGAAAACACACTGAAGTACTCATTTGGGATGGCAGGAAAAACAGTTATTGCGGCTTGCAAGGCATACCTGTCAACTAGATCCGATAAGAACTCCAATTCCTCGTCTCTGGTGATCCTAATCTCCATAGCCATGATCTTGAACATCGATAACTGCCGAACGATCGGCCTGGGGACACCCCAGCCCGAACGAGTCGTTCGTGCTGGGAGAGTCGCTGGAACGAACGAACTCGTTCGGTAGAAGTACCCCTCTAGCCCGAACCATCCCACGTCAGATAAACTTGTCGCTAGCAGGGACAACGATCTGGCTCTTCCCCTCCGGCGGACCAGCCCAAAAATGAGGGAAGCCCAAAAACGTCATTGCCTACAAGAATAAAA